CCCAGCAGCTGCACTACTGGGTATGTACCCCCAAAAATGAGAACACTAATTAGAAAAGATACATGCACCCCGATGTTTGTAGCAGCATAATCAACAATAGCCAAATCATGGAAGCAGCCCAGATGTCCACGGACTGATGGAGAAAGAAGATGTGGGAGATATATACAATGGAGTATTACTCAGCCACCAAAAAGAATGAAATCTTGCCATTTGTGACATGGATGGACCTAGAGGGGATTATGCTGAGTGAAATAAGGCAGAGAAAGACAAATACCATGTAATTTCACTCATATGTGCAATCTAAAAAACAAAATGAATGAGCACACAGGTAACTACAGAGAAGGAACTGGAGGTTGCCAGAAGGGGCACAGTGCGGGTGGTGCAGTGGAAGGAGACAGACCAAATGGGGGGAGGGCACTAAGACGTGACAAAGTACGTGCGTCACGGGGATGAAAAGTACAGCCTAGTGCATACAGTCAATCCTACTGCAGTGATGTGGTCTGGTGGCAAGTGGTGACTTACCGCAGTGAGCACAGAGTCAAGTCTGCAACGGTCAGCTCACTACACTGTGCGCCTAAAACCAAATAGAACCTGTTAACTGTACTTCGATAATAAAGATTTTTAAAGAAGAAATTCAAATGGCCAATTAACAAAAAGAAAACGACCAGCTGTTTAGCTTTGGTGTAGTCCCGAAGAATATCCATAGTTACCTGAGACAACTATTAAGCTGCCCTGCTCCGGGTGAGACTGATCCTCACGTGCCTCAGCCAAAACAAGGTACTACTACAACAGACTGAACGTGGGACAACCAAGAATGAGTCATCTAGTATTTGCAAAAGTGTGAAAACAATGCCACTGGGGAATAATTTTTTTAATTAGAAATATGCTAATGATGGCAACAATGTTTTTTTCATGAATATTTATTTTTTAAAGTTCTCCATTTAATTTCTAAGTCGGTAAATATCAACACATACGATCGATGTCAACAAAAGCTTTTTGGAGTCCTCCACGGGAACCAAAGGAGAACCACTGCTTCTGGGGTGGTGAGAAACGCATCGGAGCAGGTCTGAGCCCCACTTGATAGAGCCCCTGTGTGCCAGGCCTCCTGCTCCAGACTGCTCCAAGTGGGCCCTCATCTGGACGGCAAGGTCGGGACACCCCACCAAGGCGGCACGTCCCATCTGGCTCACTACCCCAGGCAGGACCATCAGAACTGCCCAGCTGAGCCCCACAAGCCCCCCAGGCCTAAGAAAACATAGCTTCTGTCGTGAGCAGTAACGGCCTTCTCTCAGGCCTCCACCCCTCTTCCTTCATCATCACCCCGGATGTTAGCTGTGTCCCTTCTAACAGCCTATCGTCGGCTTTCGCTCCTTTCACCAGCACGACAACCTTTTAAGAAGCATTTAGCCACTTAGAATTATTAGTACATCTGGGTCCGGACAGACCACCTTCTTATTCTGATTTTCATTTTTTCAATCAATCCATTTTCCTGGGCACTCCAGATTCCACGACATGCCTTCCTGACCCTCGCCTTCTCCCTCAACGATGTGAGAACCTCCAGGCTGCGGTCATCATGGGGCTGGGGTTTACCTAGCGACTGGACGAGAGAGAGGTTGTGCAGCTCTGCTCAGTGGTACGACCTCACCCTGACCTCCCCTGGACTCATCAACTTGCCTGGCCTGCGCAGCTGCACCCAAGTCCGACTTCCTTCACTGAATACGCTGGGATTCTCTCCTGTTTCGGTTGCTGGTAAGTTTTCCAACATATTCTGGCTTTTGTCAGAAACTTTTTTCTTCAAGGATGTTGCTGGGTTGAGGTTTTCTGCCATCACCGTGAACACCCCAGTCTCCTGGCTTCCATGGTCTGCACCGATCAGCTTTAATTGGGAGGCTTTCTAAGTCGTCTACGGCTTTTAAGGACAGAGGTTCAAATGGGTTGTCATGCTTGAGGCTCTTCAATCTTCGGACGCTATTCCTCCAGCAGGGCCGTGAAGGTGCCGCCGCATCACAGCCCCACGCCACAGTGCGAAACATCACGGATGGCTCATCCCCCTCCTGCCCCCCAGGTCTCCCGATCTGCTTCTGTCATCACACTCAGGGAGTTCCTACTGTAGCTCCTGGAGGTCCTGGCTCCGGACCTGGTTCTCTTCAGTTGTCTGCTGGAATGCTCCATCTCAACTCTTCTCTCTCTGGAAATGCTAAGCAGAGTTAAAGTGTCTTGGTCCCTCCCACATCTCAACTCGTCTCAGGGGGTGGCTCAGGGTGCTGGTTCTGTGGGAGAAATGCACTGAATCTAACAGCCTCTACACCGAGTCTGTTTCTCAAATCTTCTCTTGATGTTTTGTTCTTGTCTCACATAATGAGGTGCTGAACATTTTATTTACGTTTATTGTATAAACAATTAGGTCTCCTTCACTCATAACCTTAAGTGAAGGTGGGGTCCTAAGGTCTCGGCAGCCTCCGACTCGAATTCACATCCTCCGCCCAAGTGGAGACTGTCAAAAACACAGGTCAGCCAATCAGGCCCCTGCGCCCTGACCTGGACAAACACCAGGCAGGACACCAGCAGCACTGCACACGGGCTCACAAGCCCTGGGCCCATCCTCCTGGGGACCCTGGCCCCCAGTGCCTTCAAGCAGAGCTTCATAGTCCCACTCAGGCTCTAAGAACCCCCAGTGGGAGGCTGTCTGAATCACCACGTTCCTTTTCTCTTCTGTACAATTCTTCTTCTCTTCAGCTATTATTGAGGGTGTCTTATACATAGTATCTGTGTGTTAACTAGATTTGGGGTAGACACACTCAAGCACAGAGCGGTGAGTGAGGTGGTGTCCCTTCCAGAGCTGGGTCTGAATTACAAAGTGCAGTCAGGTTGGGTTACAAACTCTCTCAAACAGGAAACCATCCACTTTTAGGAGGGAAGCAGCAGGACTGTCTTAGATAAAAACAGACTGGCAACAGTGGGACAGCGGACCAGTGTGAGGGGCAGGGATGCTCCACGGTGGACACCAAGAGGCCGGTAACCGCCAACAGTAACAGAACGGGGTCTGTGTGGCCAGGGGCTGGCACAGGGCCGGGGCTGTGCTACGCGGAGCTGAACCACACACCCGGTGACAGACACTGCAGACACCAGCCACTACCGTGAACAAAAGTCCACGGACAGAGGGCAGCGACAGAGCCGCACGAGAGGCATGCTCAGGAACGGCAAAAAACGGCAAGGCAGGGAGCCTAAGGATGAGCAAAGTATCTCGATTTTGAGCAAGCAATCTCAAAACCTGGGAAATAGCACCACTAATTAAATAGGACCACCGTGTGAACGAGGTGCCAGCACACTGGTGCACTGGGTGCTAGGAATGCGGTCACACCGCCCTGACCCGAGTCCATCACCCCACCAAGCTAGGTCTCCAGAGACATGGCCATCAGGCTCCAGGACCGTGCTAAAGCAGATGAAAAATCTGCCATTTACCAGCGGTCTGAAAATAGAGAGCTTCAGAAAGTGATGCACTACCTTTCAAAAGTCCCGCCTTAGCTGACCCACAGCAGGTACGAGGGAGGGAGATGGGCGGCGGAGCGGCAGGACTGCTGGTCTCACAGCACCCTCGTCAGGGACAAGGCTCCCTCCTGCCCTTCCAGCCCTTGCCTTTCAGGTGGTTCAATCACTAGTTCAAGGAATAAATTTAAGACCAAAAATTCTAGACTGCAGCACATGCTGTATGCTGATCCCCAAGTATCAAACATGGCTGGGACTCCCACCAAACTGCTTCCTGCAATAAAAACTGGGAAGTGCAGGTATTTGGAAACAAAGACCTAGGTTTTTGTTTTTCAAGATTTTATTCATTTATTTGACAGAGACACAGCAAGAGAGGGAACACAAGCCGGGGGAGTGGGAGAGGGAGAAAGCAGGCCTCCCACGGAGCAGGGAGCCCGATGCGGGGCCTGATCCCAGGATCCTGGGATCATGACCTGAGCCAAAGGCAGACGCCCAATGACTGAGCCATCCAGGACCCCCAACAAAGAGCTAGGTTTAAAAAGATATACTACTGGGGTGCCTGAGGGGCTCAGCTGGTTAAGCGTCTGATTCTTGGTTTTGGCTCAAGTCCTGATCTCAGGGCCTTGAGATCAAGCCCCATGTCAGGCTCCACGCTCAGTGGGGAGTTTGCTTGGGAATTCTCTCTCCCTCTGCTTCCCTCTCTGCTCCTCGTACCAGCTCACGCACACACACTCTCTCTCTCAAATAAATCTTTAAAAAAATGTATTAGAGGGGCGCCTCGGTGGCTCAGTCGTTAAGCATCTGCCTTCAGCTCAGGTCATGATCACAAAATGTTTTTAAAAAGTTGATATAACCACCTATCATGATGGACGTTAACTAGACTTACTGTGGTCAGCATTTCACAATAAACACAAATACAGAATCATTATGTTTTACACGTAAAACTAATGTTTTATATCAATTATACCTTGATTTAAGATTTTAAGATTGATGTTTACGATGAACTACAACCATCCATTCAGGACCATCCTATGTCTTATTCCAGCTACTCTCACTACTGCGCATCACGTTCTGGAGCCACACCAAGATCACTACTGAATGAACATACTCACCACTGCTTAACACATTTATTGTCCAGAGACGATTACTGCCTTTAGTATCATCAGGCAAACCTGTCAACACTCTATTCGTAATAGGAGAAGACAGGTTAATGAATACTTAAGAAAACCCGGTATCACGCATTGTGACCATGTTGGTGTAAACACTTTGAAGTAGACAGCTAGATATCATGCAAGTATAGAAGTCGTCTAGGAAAAGTAGAGAAATAGTCCTGTGGATCTCTAACTGCTTAGCCACGACTCAAGAACAAACTGCCAAAGCTTCGTGGATTAGAGGTTGATGCTGAAGCCACCCACCTCCTTCCATAAAGGCCAAATATAATTCAACACCTACCTGAAAAATCACTGTCTAGATACGAAAAGGTTTCATAACGCATCCACACAAGCACATTGCTCTTTGAAATTTAAAGAAAAAATTTATTGAAGATCTGAAAAACAATTCCTAAAAGATTGACTTCTCCAGAAAACTGTAGCTACACAATGCATTGCGTCTATTATGTTAAAACGTGCATTAGACACAAATACAAAAACCATGAAACAAGCCACCATTCTTCAACAATCTGAGCATAGATAAAATGCCTAAGGAACAACATGGATGGCCTGCAAAGGATGGGCTCTTTACTTTAAGCACCATTAAAAAAACAAACAAAAAAAAAAGGAGCACAAACGGATGAGCGTGTTCAGTTATATACACTGAATTGAACCTTTGGCACTAGGAATCAGAGCATTTGTCATAGAGCATTAACACATATTATAAAAGTGCGTAGTGTCAAAGGAATAGAACCACCAGCATTCAAAGCAGCTTTGTCGACTAGGCAATAGAACAGTCTACAGTATGTCTCTCCGTTGTCCATCACTGAATACACTGGTAGCAACTTTGAAATGAAAAAAAAAAAAAAAGAAAAGAAAAAAGGAGCTGTAACCCCTTTTATTTTCTCTGTTTAAGATCAAACAGAAAACAAACATCAACTGTTATACACTAACATTTTCAAAGTACATCATTTGTACAAGAGAAGGACTAAACAAAAATGTGTTTACAGAGATCCAAACAAAGTGAGGGCCGGCACCTCGCCTCACACAGCCTTCCGATGGTACTCAGGAGGAGCCACTTCATAATCGCTGGCACTAAACAAGGTTGCCGAATTCTTTGCCAGGTATCTAAAAACAAAATGTCAGTCATTATAAAGATGAAGGAGAATCCTACACCTTGATCTAAATCAAGGCACAGATGCTACACAAAACAGTTTCTCTGAAAATATACTAAAATAAAGGCAACTTCACAGTAAAACCCTGTCATTACAATTCAGATACACAGGCCCATACACACCAGTCAGTGATGCATAAAGAACGAAGAAGTCCAGAGCCACTCCCTCATTTCAGAACAGTAAAGAACAGCTGTCTTCAAAATACCAACTTCAGAGCTGGGACTGTTTTTAGGAAACAGATGTGGCATCCTAAAGGAACACCTAGTGTTTTCTTTAGCTCTTTGAAACTCAATGTATGAGATACAGATTCAGAAATTGACAAACACCATAAAATTCAAAGGGTCCTAAACTGAAGTGTTCAGTGGTACAACACTTTGAGTTCATTAAAAAAAAAAAAAAAAATCCAGGCAGAGAGAGGACCTCTCCTCATCACCGGAAGAGCAAGGACTAGAATGCCTCATACATTCCCAGGCACGTGTTGCAGTTTTATGATTATAAAACACATGGTATCACACTAAGGAAATTCAAATACAGAAATAGATGAAGTAGAAACTGACCACTTCAACCTTCCCTCCCAGAAGGGTGCCCAGGAACTAATCCACCATTTGGTAGGATCCACACTTTTCTAGATCTTTTCCAAAGAGTACAAACGTGTCTCCACAAATGAGGGGACTCACACATCTACTTTTCCTGCAACTCGGCTGTTTTCAGCTGCCGCAACATGGACAAGCTTTCTCATCAAGATGTTTACAGCTACACCACCCTTTGCAGGGGCTTGGCTGTTGACAATTCATTACTATACACGTGTATTTTACATCTTTGTGCATCTGGAAATCTTTGTGCACTTCAACTTATCTATGGGGTCAGTTCCCAGAGAGTTAACGGTCTGGTCCGAGGGAAGCACATTTGAACTTTCAACAGGCATTGCCAAAATGCCCTCCAAAAAGCTGCAGAAACCAGAAATGCCCTTTCTCCCAATTCTGCAGTCTGGTTGATCTCAGCCAGAGTGACAGAGACCCCTGACCGTGGGAACCCTGCACCATTTTGGTAGGCCACCGAGCTGCCGCCGCTGTGGAAACCCACCATGCTGTCACTGCTTTGCTCACCGTGATCATACCTCTTCTGTTACTGTTTCTTTCTTTCTGTGTTACTAATTTCTAATCACAGAACTTTAACTTTTTACAAAGTCAAGATGATTATTCCATTATTTGAGTATTTAAGAAAGACCTTTCTCACTCTAAAAATAATGAAAATGTTACCATTTTTCCATCATTATCTTAATAGTTTCCACTTTAGATTTATACTTTGGATTAATCTAGAATTCTAGTCTGTGACAGTAAGTGTGGATCAGATTTTGTTTCCTTCCAAAGACTAGCCAGCTGATCCCGTCAGACGCCGCCCCGGCATCTGCGACAGTCAACACCTGCACTTTTGTTGTTGCACTGACATCTCTCCTCCGTCCACACACTGCTGTGTTCTCGTCTGTCTTCTTATCTACAGTGCCAATGGATCAGTGATTCTCGGTACACTGTGCTAATTCATGTTTGTAATTTCAAGCACACCCTTAAACTTACTTTAGGAAATCATGAAGATAATTTAGCAACAATGCAAGGCTTTTCTCATCCAGAGGAGTATAGGCCAACATCGCTCCGATTCGTACTGTGTAAACAAATAATGTAGTCAAAGTTACGTACGAGACAGCACTAGGAAGCACTATTTTTATTATGTGAGCAGCAAACGCAATCACTGATTCCTTTAAAATATGTGATTTTAAAAACTCTACTTTTAAACAGATTTGATATTTAACATTTTAGGTAGAAAGTTCAAAATGGAATGTTCTATAATGTTACTTTCTGTTACCCCTTGATATCAATTAGTAAAGACAAAAAATATTAAAAACCCAAAGGATAGGGGTGCCTGAGGGGCTCAGTTGGTTAAGCGTCTGCCTCTGGCTCAGGTCATGATCCCAGGGTCCTGGGATCAAGTTCCACATTTGGGCTTCCTGCTCAGCGGGGAGTCTGCTCCCACCACCCCACCGCTCGTTCTCACTCTCAAATAAAATCTTGAAGAATAAGATAAAGAAATAAAAAAACCAAAGGATAAAAAATAATTTTTTTCTAAATAGGACATTACCAAATAATCTCAGTAGATGTGGTGCTCCATACACCTGGGACATGGGTGCATCCGGGTGATCCGCTAGGATCTCCGCATACTGTGGTCTCTCAAATTTGTAGAGTAGCTGAGTGCCCAACATCACATTGAAGTATTCCTTTATTCCTGCCACCACCTCATTAACAGCATACTCCCTGATACAAAGACAAAAATATTTACTCTCAAAGCAAGTCACTGAAAAGAACTGAGAAATGGGGATTAATTCAATCAAGAGCAAGGGACTTGAACTGAAGGCTGAACTAATGGCAATGAACTTTTAATGAACACATTTTTTTAAAGGGATTTAAAGAACAAGAAAAATCAATTCCAAAAATAAACCAGTGGTAAGCAAACTACAGCCTTCAGGCTAAGAATGGTTTTTTAAAAAATTCTCAATTGTATTTTAAATGGTTATATATGCACTTACACATAACAGCTTCAATTTTACCTAAAATATTTACTGTCTGGCCCTTTAAAAAAAAAAAGTTTGCCAGCCACCAAACTCCACGTCAAACCAATGAAATTCTATTTTGCTGGTTTCTGATGGCACTAAGAGTAAGTGGACATTTCAGAGGATTTATTTGGAAATAAGAATACTTAAAAGAAAAATATCTTTGTGTATACTTAAAAGATTTATATGTTCTTACTTATTATCTGTGTTTCCTCGAGATTTCTTGTAATTTGCATAATCCTCTAGAATGGAATCCACATTCTTCTTGGCAGGAAGATAAAAAAGCTATGAAAACAAAAAAAAACTTGAATACCACAGTATTTTTTTTTTTTTTTAAGAAAAGCTACACTGGAAAAGCTTTAATCCAATAAAAGACCACCTAACAGTTACAAAATAGGAAATGGCACTGTTCAGCACTTACAACATGGCTAATGTGGCTGAGGAACTAATAAAAATTTTTTAGTTTAGTAATCTCAGTACGTAGCCAAACATTGACTAGAGGCTGCCATATTGGACAGCACAGCTCTAAAGACCAGTCATCTGCTGGACACCATTCCTACTGCGCACAATCTATGGAATACACCACACAGAACTGTAGAAATGTACCTCCCTGACACTGACATTATTTACTGTATGTGGATCATGTGCCAGACCCTGTTGGAAGCATACATGAAATCTCTTTTCATCCTCACATCAGTAGTGAGAGGTAGGAACCTACTAAAACACAGAAAGGCTGAGTACTCAGTAACTGGTAAGGCCAAGGTTTGAGTCCAGCAGTTCAGCACCAGAACCAAATCAAGAACCAAATGAGGTCCACACAGTGTCTAAGACTGAGGTCTCTGAAGTCTCCTGACCCCCAAGCAGTCTATACGCCCCTATTCCTGCCCATGCCATCTGTTCTAAAAACTTGGTTCATCGTCTGATAAAGTCCTCATTCTGGTTTTGATGGCTGCACCCTTGTGATGTCACACATGTACCTCATAATGCCCCTATTTCCTTTACACTAGTAATCAGACTTGGAGCTGGAGGAGATTCAGGTTCTTTTGGAGGCCACGAATACCTCGCAGGAACTATTGTGTGCTTCCTGTTACATTCCATTAGTAGCAACATTATGTGAGAATATCCCATTTTCAATGACAGTAGAACAGGAAACACATGCTTCTTTGTCCTTATCAATTTTCAGAATGATTTCCTATCCTAGCAACATCCAAAATAGAGTTCTCTCCACCTTTTCTCACTATAAACTCATGGGACTTTTATATATGTACTTTGTTTTAGTCCTCTACAAGTGAGGCCTTCTGATGATCACACTGTCAGTCTCTGAATTAAAATAACACTCATCAGGGGCACCTGAGTGGCTCAGTCGGTTAAGCGTCTTCCTTCAGCTCAGGTCATGATCCCATGGTCCTGGGATCATGCCCCACATCGGGCTCCCTGCTCAGCGGAAAGCCTGCTTCTCCCTCTCCCACTCCCCCTGCTTGTGTTCCCTCTCTCGCTGTGTCCCTCTCTGTCAAAAAATAAATCTTAAAAAAATAAAATAACACTCATCAGTCACACCCCTTCAATAGTCAAGTCTATACAATTTTTTCCTTAAAACTTTGTTTCACACTACCTAGAACATCTATAGATGACAATCTGTGTCGCTTTCAAGGTACCTGTTTTTGTCGGGTAATTAAGTCCCAATCATCGACAAGCCATGGTTTTAGCTCTTCAGGAATCTTCACTTTCACTTCAACTCTGTTCATGAATGTTTCCTCCTGGACAGAAAAGGGAATGGCATTAAAAACCCACCTTTTCTCACTAAACAACTAAAATTCAGGGCTTTACTCAATCTTTAGAAGCACTAAAGATATAAACTAATCTGAAGTACTCAAACGGACTGCCAGAGTTGACATTCAAAAATTTGTAAATGAAAAACCCCTACCTATAGCTAAGCTGATGGAAGAATCTGGTCTTCATAGATAATTGGTCTATTCAGTGCCTTTTCGTGTGAAGGCACAAATTCTTCAGCACATTTTCTTTTCTTCTGCAAATGAACACTCAGACTTGGTGCACTCTAACGGTATTTTCATATTTATTGTTGATATCCAAGGACTGTTCCAAATATGACTACCTTAAAATTACTTCTTTAATACATAAAATTAAATGTACAAACTCCAAATGAAGTCTTTCATCACTGCCCAAAGCTGCCTATTCTCAGAACACGGCACTCTAAGTTTCCTAATCTCGGTTTCAGAAATATAAACTGTCAGTACATTAAAATTAAATTAAAACCCTACCTTCCAGGGTGCGTGGGTGGCTCAGCTGGTTAAGCGACTGCCTTCGGCTCAGGTCATGATCCTGGAGAGCCAGGATCAAGTCCCATGCATAGGGCTCCCTGCTCAGCGGGGAGTCTGCTTCTCCCTCTGACCCTCCCCCCCCATGCTCTCTCTCTCTCAAATAAACAAGATATTAAAAAAAACCCACTTCCAATTCATTAACTTTGTAAATTAGAAATAAGACATTTTATCACTTAGAGAAATTCTAAACTCATATACACACACATATATGTAGAACGGATAAAGCTTTTGTGGGTTTTTTTTATGGGTTTGTTAAGTCATCATGGGACATACTAAACCATTTAACGTGAACTGGTAAGTCTATACAGTCAAACATCAATGAAATATTAAGTTCTGTATATCAACAGAGCTTGAAAACAAGTATCTGATGATGAGCTGGGGAGGACATACATAGCAAGGACATATTCAGAGCTACAAGTGAAATAAAGATGTATTTAAAAAAAAAACCCTTTATCCAAGAGGAGGAATATTTTCACTTCAGTAGTTAACCAAATTAACAATGTTTTCGAGACTCAAGTTCTGACTCTTTTATTGCACAAACTATAAATACTAAAATGCAATTCATAAAGCTGAGAAAATACTCACATTCTCCACAGTGGGATCCACGCGGGCCCTTTTCTTGCGAGGAGGCGGAGGGGTCTCACTGGTGCTGCCACCGTCCCCATTTCCAGGTGCTGCACAGATTCAGGAGAAGAAAGGAGATTTTCAGCTTCACATAGGAGAGACTCGTAAGGAAAATAGTCTCATGACAACCCCGCTGTTTTCATTTTCCCATTACACAGGAGTTACTCAAATCTACCGTAAAGAATCATAGTCCTACCAAAAATACAACTTATAAAGTTCTACCAAACACTTAGCATAAGGCAACATTTACAATATCATCTTACATTTATTAAAAAATATTATCTTCTCTAGCATTAAGACTAAACATGACACAGGTTTCTCCATGGTAAAAACAGTATCAAAGTTGGGTCTCCACTACCCAAATACTATACTATTATGTACTGGATTCTGTAGAATGTTGCTGTGATTGATCTCTGACATGAGCAACAAACAAACACTTACTCTAAAAACTCTGTAAATTTTAACACTTAATACTAATTTCAAAATGTAAATGCCATAAAGATAAAATAATTTTAAAACAAATTTAATATCCTTACTTTTCTGTTTGTTCTTTTTGGTTTTCCTAAAAGGAGAAGGAAGAAAAGGGAAAGAATAGTAAGTCATTACTGCTAGTAAAAGTTCCCTTTTACCAGAGTTAAGTTCATAGAGAAATACTGCCTTGGATGATAAGCCCAGGCTGTGAATTAGTTTCCTGCTCAGACAAGAATTTTCACTGATAGTTGGCTAAATTCACACCTCCCTCCATATAATACAAAACTAAACCAAAACCACGTTGGGAGACTTCCATGATGTTATTGATTTACAAGTTCACAGCATATGTTATATAGTTTATAAGAATCTTACCTTATTGGTTCTACCCAAACAAACTTCCAAAAGTTCAAGCAACCCCATCAGCTCAGTCCGAGAACCTGATGAGACATGTGTGCGCTCCACCCTCAGGGGCCACTGTCTCCCTGTACTTCTCTCAACTGGATATTCCGTCCTTTTCTACACCTAATACTCTTTTCTTCCCCTACACAGAACAAAGCTAATCTCTCCTTCCTCTTGGTCATCATCTCTAATTGCAACTTAACTCATGTATATTTACAAACTAGCAAACAGTAAATTATTCATTTTAATTTCATTAATATTTATAGAATACAAGAAAATCACGTGCAAAGCCCATGACTATGGGCTACATCTGGTGGGACCAAACCAGAACACCAGAGTAGGCTGACTCTTCTACTGCTTTAAAAAGACATTTATAAATCTTATTAATTGTACTGATCTAATTTAGAGCATGAGGTTCATTTTACAACTCATATTAACTTATGTTTAGGGATAAGTACAAAAATCTGGCATCTGAAAGTACGAGATTTTTCCTGTTTCTCCAAGTTTAACTTCTGGAACACAAGTACTTGTTGGACAGTATTTCTGGTTCAGATTAAACCATGAACTTTTATGTGTTAAGAACAGGTGGAGACCAAGAGAAACCTAGAGCCCTGACACGTATTCCTTACCCACTCATTCTATACCACAAAATTAAAGAGAAAACACTGACAGCTGACCCTAACTCTGAAATCTATAAACTATACTTCAATGAATCACAGCAGTAAAGACTCACAGACTTCTTGCTTCAACCTTCTTGCTTATATTAATTAAAAAAGCAAGCTAGTTTCTCAAACTAGGCAACAGATTTCCTACAATAAACTGCCTGGTGTTATCTGTGTTCCTTTCTCTAAGCCCTATGACTAAGTATTATATAGTCAAAACATCAGCTGTTAGATTCAATTTAAAGAATAACTGCAGTCCTAAGTCATTCTTAGAAAAGCCATTCCAGGGACACCTGGGTGGCTCTGTCGGTTAAGTGTCTGCCTTTGGCTCAGGTCATGATCCCAGGGTCCTGGGATGGAGTCCCACACTGGATCCTCGCTCAGCGGGGAGCCTGCTTTTCCTTCTCCCTCTGCTGCTCCCCCTGCTTGTGCTAAGTAAATAAAATGTTAAAAAAAAATAAAAGCGGGCGCCTGGGTGGCTCAGTTGGTTAAGAGACTGCCTTCGGCTCAGGTCATGATCCTGGAGTCCTGGGATCGAGTCCCA